TCCGAGCATCCACGGCGATCGTTCATGTGCATCCATGATATTTATCTTGCGCATTCATGCAATAGGTGTGCGGAGGAGTGGCGTTGCTTTGGAGTTCGAGGGAGCCAACCAGGAGGAGGAACCCGAGGTGCGGGAAGTCGACAAGCGATCGCCATGAGGATTTGCCCGAGTGCCACGACCACCAGACCTTCCTTGTTCTGAAAGGCAAGCCCCGAGCATATTAAGCCTCCCATGTTTTTGCAAATACTTGAGTACCTTTTATTGTTGATGATGCATTAAGTATAGGAATTGGTTGGAACCAATTGCTGCATTATATATCCTTCCTTGTCCAGATATCGCATTTGGAATCCTATTTAAGTTCAGGAGCGGGTTATATGCTTAGCCATGCTTAGTGCGGTAGAAGTCGGTGATTTCTGTCACTGCGAGCTTTAGGATGAGGTGGATCACGGTTGGCTATATTTGCTATCGTGGAAAAGAACCATGTGATTAATGAATTAAGACCAAGGCGGGGTCTTGTGTAGGTTTGAACATAGTGACTCCGTCGAGTCGTTTAAGGACCGATCTGTTGACGTCCTCATGTCATGTTGAACGCAGACCTAACACTTAGCTGGCGGATAAGTCGTTCCGACCCATGAAGCCTAGTAGCTCGACTCGGCCGGGGGCAGCGGCGATGGTGGCATTACGGAGGTAGTAAGGATGTGCGGAGAGCCATTAGCATAAGTCCAAAGGCGGGTTAGAGTCCCGAACAACCTTGGTAGAGTGGTTCTCGAGAATGTCGATCGATCGGACTCGCGACTCTGAATCGTACCAAAGGTGACTTGTTTTGCGACTCGACGGGAGAAGCGGGGTTTGTGTTTAGGAATACCCCTCCATTTGGATAGGAATCGATTGAATCGCCGTCTCTCCCGAATAGTGAGAACTTGGTGACGTGACAGCGTAGATTCAATTAATTTAACGATATGGTTAAATGGATGATGATGATAAGGTTGCCAATGAATACGATATGGTTATTAATGTTTGCACCCTAATAATATGATTGCTTAATACGGTGCTAATATAGTTGTCGAGTTAATGGCTAAAAAGTCACTTTGCTAGTCGAGGCTAAGATTTGATCATTATTACTTATGCTTTTACGCAAAAAGAAAGTGTCGACCAGATCCACTACAATAAGCTTTGCATAATCCTTGGTGTCATTTATTTTGGTTTACGGCGGGTAAGTCTAGCTGAGTACATTCCGTACTCGGGGTTTATTTCCCTCTTGTTGCAGATGACCTTCTATATCGGGGATTCGTAAGTATTGTCTCCACCCGGCGGGTGATGAAGACTAGATCATGGGCATGATCTCTGTTCCCTTATCTGAATGCTTTTGTGGGCTATGATCAGCGAACCAGTATGTGTATTTGAACTCGAGTGTGTGAGTTAAACTATTTGCTTCCGCATGTTTTACAAGACTTGTTTTGTAATAACGTTGACTCTGTGATGATGTAATCTATTTGCAAACGTCTGTGAAATGTTGTAACGTATGATATGTTATGTTGAATTACTGTGATCTTGGTTGTATGCAAGTTGGTTTGAAATCCTTCGAGATTTCAGTTGACTACCGGGTTTATATGGGCTTAAGTTCGAGAATTTGATCGTTTCGGCGATTGTTTTTGTACTTGTGCTCTTATAAATTGGTCGGTTCTGTGACATTGAAGGCGCGCTCCGGCCTGCCTTGGCCGCGCTGGGCAGAGCGTCGGCGACGCGCGGCCGTTTCCCGCGCCACGCGGCGCGCGGTGTCTGAAGCCGGTCGGCCACTGTGCCGGTCGATTCAGTTCGTCAGTGACCCGAAACCGAGCCTGACGACGGGTTATCACGGTCGTTTAACTACAAATCCGTAGCTCCTAAGCGAAAATGATCTACATGATTTTTGTAGCCCGAAGTACCAGCTCCAACTATCGTTCAATAACCTCGTGCTAATTCGCCATCAACACCGAGTTACATCGCACCAAAGGTCGGCTGTCAGTCAGTCAAGGTTCACGACTTAGCAAAAATTTGCTAAGTGTTGAACTTGTGATTTCTCTGATTTTTGAAACCCAAATTCACACATGTTAGGCGCTGAATCAGTCAAAGAGCCAAAAATCAAAGTTGTTCCTTATGTCAAACACTACAACTTTGCTTTAGTAAACTCCTCCATGCAAGGTCTCTAACACTTAGTTCAACTTTGGTCAAACATGTCACTTTGCAATCATGATACATATTCAAACCATGGCTAAATGACCAAACTAGCCCTAGCCTTAAATACCAAAGTTGTTCATGATGATACTCTAAGCATGTTTAAACAATTTGCAAGGTCATTTAAGCATTTCATGTAGTAGTCACTCATATAGCTATCCAGGTCAACACATGTAATATTACTTAAGTGCTTGATCATGAAAGGTGACCTTCATGAACAAGGTTCCTTTTGTTAACCTAAATGTAGCTAAGGTGTTTTAGTGACCAACATTACCCACTTGCATTCATTTGCACATGATCATATGCATATGTTCCAAGAAACACGAGATAACAAGCAATGTTTTATATGTTTCGATCGAATGTTTCAATTGTAAATGATGATTTATGAATGCTTGATGCTCATGCTTATGTTATGCAAGTCAAGTTATGCAAGGCTAACACCCGAGGTGTTACATATTCGTTAGCTTTCCGAAAAGTCCTAGTTCATCGAAATCGGAGTTCGGAGGTAGGAGTTATGCCCGAAATACGAAAGGGTGCTGCTACTGTTTTTGGGCACCGCCCCTGGCACCGCCCTAGGGTGGCGGTGCCCACTTTTTGGCCACCGGAAAGGGCGGTGCCACCCTCTATAATGGCTGCGATTTGGCTACGAGTTAGGTTGCAACTTCCGACCCCCGGACAACCATAACTAGCCCTTTTCTTCTCCTTTTCCTCTCCAACTTGATTCGTTTCAACACCAACAACTTCTCCTTTGCAAATATGCCAACACCACCAAGTGATCACCATTTTGTGCATGTGTGTTAGCTTTTCACAGATGTTTTCTAAAGGATTAGTCACTCAATTCACCACGCCACTCGATCCTAGCAAGGATGCAAAGTTAGATCACTCAAGTGGCACTAGATGACCGATATGCAAACAAGTTTGCCCCTCTTGATAGTACAACCATCTATCCTAAACCCGGTCATAAACTTCTCTACACACCTATAACCGGTGGAATGAAATGCCCTATAAGTTATAACTTTGCTTTGATCTTCTCCACCTTAGTCTTGCAAACGGTCCGTTAAGCCAAGTCTTATCTTGATATTCTCCAACTTAGTCATATAACTCCATGTCATGTCTCATATGCAATAAGCTCCATCATCACATGTTTGAGCTATGCAGCATATCCAAGCTATTTCACCTCTATGGCATGAGTTGCTCACACAAGTGTTCTTGTGGACAAATCTCCTGTGTAAATCACTTAACCGCACATTAGTCCACCTAGTTTGTCACTCAATTACCAAAACCAAATAAGAACCTTTTAACATGTCAGTGTATATTAACAAAATGTTTATCGGCTCAGATTTTGGGGTTGTTGTTGCTAGAGTTAAACCCCGAAATCATTGTCCAGAAAGCAGGAAAAGCCCCTACTTAGACATGTAGGGCCCCAGATTTAGAGGTATTATCGCTGGAGATACTCTGATGTCAGTGGTGACCAATTATTCTGTAAAAAGAAAATAGATATATTGTCTATTATTATCAATGATGATTAAAGCTTTTAGATTTTGTTTCTAGCATGTCTCGTGAGCCTTCAATACAATTAGTAACGGTAAGATGGTTTTTTTTTTATAACTACGGTTATGGCTGCAAGCCTGATAAGCCAAATAGTATTTAAATTATTCCCATATTGCTTTATTTTATTGCCTTGGAAAAACTTGTATAGGGTATTCAACCCTTTTAATTATACATAGGGGATGAGTCCACAACTTCACATACATGTATCAGCGAAATAATTAAAGCTGTGAAATTAAGGGCATGGGTTTGACCCGTGAGAGTGAATATTCTAGGATCTAACGGCGTTGTACTTTCAGCTGTAGACGACGGGGCAGGAGGTATACTCTACTAGTAATCAATCACGCCATTGAATCGATGAGCTACATAATCAAACATGGTTGTCCTCATAGAATGGGTAGTCCGTATAGCCAATGACAGGATCCTGAGTGATAAAAGTTGCCCGGTTGTACTCATTCAAGGGTGCACCCAGCTCAAACCTTCTAGGCAGGTCTGGATTGGCCAAAAAGAGTCTCCCGTAGGCAACGAGATCAGTGTAATGGTCATCGACCACCTTGTTGCCTTCCTCCTGATCGTACCCACCTGCAGCGATGAACGTGCCGTTGAAGGCTTGCCGAAACGGTAGAAGCCCATGAGGGATTTGCCTGCTGCCGTCAACGACATTGGTCATCCGTGGCTCCACCATATGGCAATAGAGTAGCCCCTCGTGCCTATTCAGCTGTTGCACCATATATTCACCGAGCGCCACCGGGTTAGAGTCGGCGCACTCCACGAAGTCGATGAACGGAGACAGCCTAACGCCCACGCGGTGCGCGCCCACCTCGTGGACGACAGCATCGATCACCTCCACCGCGAAGCGGCACCGGTTCTCAAGGCTGCCACCGTACTCGTCATCACGGTCGTTGGTGCCATCCTTCATGAACTGCTCCAGGAGGTACCCATGCGCGCCGTGGATCTCCACACCATCGAACCCCGCCTCGATGGCGTTTCGTGCCGCACGCCTAAAATCGTCGACGATGCCCGGGATCTCCTCAGTCCGTAAACGCCGCGGCTTGGAGTACACTACGCCAAACTCGGCGTCGGGAGAGATCTGCTTGTCCGTGCTGGAGATGGGCGCCTGCCCGTCAGGCTGCATCTCTGCCTCAGGGTGGCACGCAAATAAAGAATCAGCTACAACATCATCGACTGAGTTGATAGTAAAACATGTTCTCGAAAAATAGTCTGCCACACGTAGGTACCGTTGGTGGAAACCCTGCCGACGTGCCAAATCTGGCAGAAGAAGAAGGCGCCCTTGCGGTGGACGGCGTCGACGATGGGCTTCCACGCCTCGACCTGCTCCTGCGTCCAGATGCCAGGAGTCTCCGGATACCACCCCTGCGCGGTGGCCGACACCCCCGTGGCCTCCGCGATGAGCAGGCCGCCCTTGGTGGCGCGCTGCGAGTAGTACACGGCGGCGTGCGGCTGCGGCACGTTGCCATAGGAGCGGCACCGCGTCAGCGGCGCGAGCACAACACGGTGGGAGAGCTCCAGATGGCCCATCTTATAGGGCGTCAGCAGCGGCATCGTCTCGTTTGCCGACTCGCACACCATCTTAAATTAAGTGCTGTATCTATGCGACCGAACACACAGGCAAGCTAAGCAGCGTTTACTAGCTTTGCTTGTGCTCCAGTTGCGAGTAATAGGCTCTTGCCTCTTGCTCTATGTTAGCTCCTGCTTTGTGCAAGTGGAAGGCGGCGGCCCAGGGAGTACTTATGGTGTGTTTCTTTAGCTCTGGTGTGTGACGTTTAAAAAAAATTCTACACACATGCATGGACTAGCGACTAGGAACTGCTGGTCGTTTCTTTAGCTCTGATGTGTGACATTTAAAAAACTTTCTAGACATGCATGGACTAGGGACAGTGTGAATGTGACAAGGCTGCGCAAGGGGGACAGAGGACCAGAGCCCAGCTTGGCCTACACTGCTCTCGGCCACCGGTGCGCACCGTGCTCATTGTTACCGTGGCAGGCCTAGCACCAATTAGAATGTGTGTAGCAAGGTAACCTTCAACACGCCGTTGGTCAAACATGTGGCGCTGAATAGCACTGTATTACTCCTGTGCATGAAGTGGACGACATATATATGCATGCTTGGCCAAGGGTTTCCTCTACTTGACTTTGGTTGACTACGGGGTTCTACCGCGCTGAACAGTACTGTACTACTGTACCATGATCATAGATGGCATTGATTATATAGGGAATGTTCCCTCAGTCTCGACAAGTCCATTGGATGGTGGAATTAGTGCAACGAAATTTGATTGGGCAAGAAGATCAATTTCCTCCACATGCATTGAATTTTAGCATTGGCACCTAGCCTCGTGTTTCCAGTTCCTTGAAAGTTCAATGCATATATTCGCTCTTTCCCGCTTCTTTCGCTCTCTCGCCAATGAATGAACATATAACTCCAATTCCTGTACTTTCAGGGTGACGTATCCAAATACTGTGACTATGTGACTCCTACAGCTACTCTCCATTCTTGATGATTTAAAAGCTACACAAATCCAATCCATTTGTTTTCTTCGACTACCATTTCGGAAAATCTTGTATTCAAACGATGGGCTTACCACTACTACAACAAAGATTTGTACTGGCGATCACAAACATATTATCACTGGCGTTTCTAACTTCCACCGGTGTGAAAGAGCAGTCGCCAACTTCACTGGCGTCTTCTAGAGAACCGCTAGTGTAAATGGTTTACGCTCGCAGTTAGTTTAAGGAAACCGCCAGTGTAACATACTTGGCCAAACGAGCCAAGCCCGCTGGGCCACCACGGGCCCGGTCCGAAAAAGCAATGCCCAGTCCCGGTACCGGTACATCACGGCAGGCCTCGTGCCCATGCCTAGGCCGCCTCACCGGCCCGAAGTGCCAGCCCGGGCATGGCATGGTTTTTCAGGCAGCACGATGCAACACGATTATTTCCAATCATTAGATTCTCTTCAGATGAACCACAACAGTTGGATTACAAACCCTAAAACAAATCTCCCCCACACCTCTGAGTTTTCCCGTCCACATACCACCACTCTCCCGTTCCTCCTCTTCCTCCTGCGGCTTCTCCTTGCGGCCTCCTCCAGCAGCGATGGCATGACCCACTGCATCCGCTCCGATGGCGATGGCACGGCACAACATCCGCTCCTTTGCTCCCCAAGTCGACGGCGGCATGGAAGGCAACAACGATGTGGCGCGTCAACGTTGCGGACCGAGCATCTGCGTGGTGACGATGCATGAAATCTTGGCGCAGTGTGCACCGACGCTAGTGTGGCGCAGCCTCACGCGATGGGCCAGGGCCGGCTCGACATTGTGGGCCACTGTGCCCAGCGGCATGGCACGGCATGGTTCAAGGGTCCTAGTGCCATGCATGGCCCGCGACGTACGGCACCGTCGTGGCTGATAGTGTTGTGCCCTGCCGTGCCATGCCAAATCATACCAGGGCTGTGCCAGGGCTTGGCCGCCCATTTGGCCATGTATATGATGACATATATGCATGCCCTTATCCAAGGGTTTCCTGTACTTGATTTTCGCTAGGGATGCAAGTGGGTACCCAGTGCTGTTTTTCGGTCACCTAACTGATTACGGTCCAATGTCATTCTAGTTCATTTTTCCACTTTTCTCAAACTAAATCTCATTCTAGTTCATTTGATCAATTTATTAGGCCAACCCAATGACCCAAAATAATTTAAACTTGAATTCCTAATTTTCGTTGACTACGGAATTCTACCGTGCGGCCAGGATACAAAAAAGGCTCCTTTGCCATATCTACCTCCCTCAGCATTGGAGTTTCATGGCTGATATCCCAACAAAGTTGTGTCAACATAATCCACTATGCAGCCTTGGTGAAACACAGTACTGATCCGTCATGTGTGCTCTGTTTCCAATCATGACTGCTATTAATTTTATGAAAGCGATTATTAAGTATATATGCCAGTGCAGTGGATTTTGAATTATTAGGGTATCTTGATTTTTTTGGGGTGATACAATTAGATTCAGTGTATCTTGAATTATCAGGGTATCTTGAATTATCAGTGTTCCAGTTCCTTCATTATTGTAGTTTCTTGTTTTTTCTGGGTGACAAAATGATTTTATCATGTACCATGGTTTGTTAGAATTATTTTTTATATTCGGTTTGTTAGAATTATTTGCAACCTTATAGATTATAAATGGTCATAATACGGTTACTTCTTCCCTTCGATACATATATCTTGTCAATGGATGTGTATCATTTTTTCCCCTTTTGTTGTACTTGACCAATGAACCTGTATAGGGTCTTTCTGATATGAGTACTTTACACGACTTTTACCTTGTGACAAACTTAAATGAAATATCAGCATGTTACTATCCTTTCATCTTTGCGTAAGGAGATTAGCTGAAGAAAAACCATTGACCAAAATTCGCATGTTATAGGAATTTGTGCTTATTCAATTGAAAAGATGTAAAAACTTCCCTATGAGACAACTTAAATATTTATGTACATGCTATTGTTTTAAAATCCAGGTAGCAATGGATTGGTTTACTACTCTTTCAAGGGATATATATATATTTCATAATGGATTATGTCCTGTTTGCCAAGTGTTTGGCTCTACCACTGTCAAACTATCATTCTACCAAATATTGAAGCAACCTTTCGCATACAATATGTATCCAAACTGCAGATCCAGAAATGAAGACCCAAAGGCACAGGGCAAAGGCGCTGGGCGTAGGACGTCTCTGTCAGGAAAAAAAAGCGAACAAAGTTCGTGCCCGACAAACTGTTTTTTTTTAAACGGTTGACAGGAGCTCCGCCGAACTTGTATTGATATAGGAGGGATATTTTTTCTATGCAGATTCATATACTACTTGCGCTATACTCCATCCGTCATAATATATATGGCGTAACCATTTTTATTCATGTCTCATAATAGCGTTCTCTTTGGGCACACGCACATCGATATAGTAATACTAGTGTTGAGAGAGAGGTTAAATACGTTTCTTGGTCTTTAAAGCGGGCGTGGTTACGCCTTATATACTGGGACAGAGGGAGTACAATCTAACTCACAGCCCGCTTCTGCATTCAGGTTCCAAACATCTGCAGACCAAGTTCCTTTTGTTTACGTACTATATGCGAACTGCAACAGAGCCTGCCTGGACGATGCAATCTATCTGCATAAAGACTTTAAAAACTTGTATGCTATATGAAGAGCCCACAGCTCTTAGTTGTATTGCAACCTTTTGCATATGCGCCATAGACGCTACTGCAGTGCATGCTTACCCAACTGAAACTGTCACCGCAGAAGTTTGATTTTCGGTTCCTTTGGTGCTTTGGCACACTATGTAGTCTTTATGTGTACGCCCATGAACCTAAGCAGCTATCCAGTACTACGTTATCTCCAAACTCGCACCTATGCCACGACGTTGGTCTGTTACTAAACGTATATAATTTTTATCCTGACTAGTCTTAGGAAGTGTTTGGTTCTCGGCTCCTAAAATTTAGTCAGCTAAACTACCTCCTAAAGTTTAGTCATCCATGTTTGGTTTGGTGGACTAAATGAGACTAAACTTGACATCTGTATGTTTAGAATGACCAAAACACCCCTAATTAATGCTAAGATGCTGCCCCCGGCATTTGGCGCGCATGCTGGCCGCACTGCTGGCTCCTGCGCGGTGCCCCTGGCCTCCCGCGCGCGTGCCACTGCTCTGGCCTCCCGCGCGTGTGCCACTGCTCTGCTTGGCTGCTCTGCTAGCTGCTGCCGCAATGTTCATTCTCACTCACAAATAATGTTTAAATAGTATACAAAAATCTTCATTATTACAAACCATGGCACATCTATGACCTTCTAAACAAACCATCGGCTATCCAATCACGAAATTGATTCATGTTTTCATCTTCGTCCCCATGACGTGTAGTGCCTCCATTTGCTTGAGAAGAAGTTCCTTCCACATTTGGGTTATAGTTTTCATCTTGATCACACAAGTCAAAGAGATCATCCATCATACACTGCTAGAAATATCTACTTCTATGACGAAAATGTTAATGACGAAACCGAAACCGTCATAGAAGAGTGTTTTTATGATGAATATTTCTGTTTCGTCATAGATCGGTGGTGACAATCCTGCAATCCTCCCTTTCTATGACGAAATCAGGCATCGTCAGAAAAAATGTCATAGAAGAGCGTAGGGTTTCTGTGATGATCTTCTTTAAAACTGTGACGAACATGCTTTGTCATTGAACTAATTACACATATGTAACGAACAATATTCGATCTGTAACGAACGGCTTCGTCGTAGGTCTCCACACCGTACTTTCTCCATCCGACGTGTACCTGTGGGACCTGCAGTTACTTATCCATGACGCTTGCAATTCATCATAAAAGTCTCCGCTCGATCATATCTCCATGCGACGTGTACCTGTGGGACCCTTCTCCATCTGACGTGTATCTGTGGGACCTGCAGTTACTCATCCGTGATGCTTGTAATTCGTCATAAAAGTCTCCGCTCGGTCCTTTCTCCGTCCGACGTGTGCCTGTGGGACCCTTCAACATCCGACATGTGGGACC